AAAGAGCTTGGTGAGATGTTTTATTAAAAAAAAATCACATTATAACGCTGCAACCACTTATTTTTTGATTAAAGAAGTTAATTCAAAAAGGCAATTCAGTTGCTCTTTAAGCTGACATAGTGTTATAACAATTACTTAAAGAACAGTGAATCTTCCCCACACCACATAATCAACGTTGCCTTGATTCCAAGGAAGTTTCTTAGTTTGGCTTTCATGGTTAATGGCTTACTGGCAACTCTTGGTTAATTATTAATGAAGACATAATAATGCTTATTCCTTAACTAACCTTCTAAGCAATACAATTATCTGCTGAAAAATCAGTGTCATGTCAACTTTAAAACTAACATATGGCTTTTTGCCTGTAGGAAAACAAATACAATGGTTTTTGATAATTTTTCCAATTGTATTTTAAACAAGGACATCCTTTTACAGTTCTGCATTTCTTTAATTGTGTATCTTACCTAAAACAGGCAGTACCTTCACTTTTCAGGTCCCCAAAGCCTCCCAAATCCACTGAAAGTTTGTGGCTCTCCCTTTCAGGTTTGGATGAGCTGTCACCTCTCTGTTCCTCCCAGAAAGACTGAGCCACTGCCAAGAGTGGAGTTGCACCCAAACATTGGTGCAACTTGGAAAAGCAACACAGTAGGTTTCCTGAAGGAGTTTAAAGTTTGGTTTGTAGGCCAACATTTCTTTTAATCATTCTGTATTCAGTAAGCTGCCTCTGTGGGATTGCATAGATAAGGCTTTTCTCTCTCCACGATGATGGCAGGACTAGAGTCAAGGCAACAGAAAGCCAATGAACAGTTCAAAACGGGTTCACACAGTAAAAGCTTCTAAGCTGTGCAGTGCTTTATGAACGTTTTGCTGTCCAGGTGCTTTCTGCTAAGGCTGTACAATTTGATCCTTTAGTCACTCGAGTCAGCCCCACCAGCTACCAGGTAGGAGCTCTTCCATTTGTCAGAAAAGGTTTATTTAGCCATTTTCTTTGAGTAAACTTAAAACATAACAGAGAAGCCTATTACATATACCTCTGCCCTCATCCATTCTTCACTAAGCTGCAAGGGATTGTTTGTGCAATATAGTGGGCAGTGCTGATATGTAATATTAAAGTGTGAGTTGGGCATATGAAAGAAAACCCCTTGATATTCCTCCTGGCCAGCAAAGCTCCTGCTGGAAAGTTGGTTTCAGGATTAATTTATGCCAGCATTGCCCTTATTTTAGTGACACTATCAGTGAAATCCTGCCCATAGCTATCAGGCAAATGAAAGAATTTCAATATGTAAAGCCCAAATCCTTTTGAAAAGTCACTACTTTGGGTGCAGGCTGACAGCAGCAGGGGCCAGCAGCTACTTTTTTATGCCTGTATTTATTTCCTTTTTCTCTGGACATCCGTCTTTCCACAGATCACTTGCAGCTTGTTAAGTGATGGAGTCTGCACCAGCAACCATTTAAAATCATTCAGTGCTTAGAGCCACTGATGTCTTATCCATACAAGCCACCTCTGTTTTACCTTTATTACTGGCAATTTGCACTGGTGACAGACTTTTTGTTCTTGTCTTTGTATATGTTTTCAGTCTAACAAGAGAGAGAAATGCATTGTTTACAGGCTCTAGGTATGAACCACTAACATACAAAGAGGCAGCATGTTCTCAACAACTGACCTTTTCTTCTCTCTTGGAATTGTTTCCTCTTTATGGTCAAGACATAGACCACGATGACTAAACTTTGGAGCCCTGCAAACTGTGCAATCACACTTCTCTCTGAGGAAGCTGGTTGTTTGCACACTGAACTCTGAGCAAAAGGAGGCCCCTTTTCTTTCTTTTAAATATTTATTTGACTTGTGCTTTTGAAGTACCTGTACCTAAATTCAGAATGCTGTAATGGGCACTTTGAAAGTATTTTACCAGTAACTCGTGTCAACGGTCCCATCTCTGACACTGGGCAGAAAGGGCGTCACTGCGAAAAATGGAGTTGTTGGGCCAAGAAAACACACTCGGTCATGTTGTCTCTGGCTGCCCGAGGAAGCTGATAAGCTGTGCTGGTTCTGTATTCTACAGGTGGTGATTATCTAGCTAGGAAACTGCAGGTGCAGTTTGAATTTTCTATTTTACAATAAAACACTAATGTTTTTAAAGTGATCTCGCCTAAATTTGAGAACAAAACCCTCACAGAACTGGATGGGAAACCTTCTACCACTCAGAGCTGTTGTTTCATGCTCTCTGCAGACAGACACACTAAAACATCACACCATTTTTACACTGGTTTCTTTTCTTGAAGATCAGATTTGCCTTTTAAGAGTTCAATTAATTTCAGTCTGCAAATCTGCAGAAGGAAGTCGAGGCCTCCAGACAGAAGCTCTTAGCTGTAAGCAGCTGAAAGTTGAATTCCTAGTCAGACTTCTGGCACTTCAGGAATTATTTAAAGTAGTTGGGCTCTAACAAGCTGTACAAAGCTATCTGAAAACAGCAGAAAGAAAATCCAGTAAGAATGGGCAGATTGATTTTGAGTAATCGAATAGTTTAAGCACTTTCTAAGCATTAACCTAAGGAAGGTGAGACTCCATAAAAGAAAAATCTTTGGAAATAGGTCTAAATACACAATAGACTTTCTAAAATTATAAGTTTCAGAAGCATTTGCACGACATAGAAAGGACAGTGTTTGATTGTACTTAACAATAGACCTTCATTTTGCATGATAGTGCTACTAGAAAATCAGAAAAATAACAACATGGTCACAAGAAAGCCTCTATATAACTGATTACTAAAGTCTTTCTCCCATAAGTTATGGCCTAGCTAAAGAGGAAAAGAAATTAAAAATAAATCATGAACATAACGAACCATAGCCCACGTTTTTACCAAGGATGCAAAATCTCCGCTGGTGCTTCCGATTTCCAAACACCTCAGAGAGCAGCTTTGTGCTCCGGCAGAACATACAGGTAAAATCAATGCAACACACATTGGCATTCCCCATCTCAGCTAACCAGACATTACATTTTATTAGGGGAGCCAAAACTAGAGGCATGGTATTTAATTTTTGGTTACACTTAAACATTCATATCCTTCCAGGTAAGCCTGTTCAAGCTCAATTTCTTGAACTTTCGCTTATCTGGTATTCAGAGTGTTACTGCTGCCTATCTTGTTGAAATCCTGTTTATAGGACCGTACACTACTGAGACATTAGGAGCTAAAAACAGCAGGCAAAACCGAGTATTAATAAATGCAAATTAATGCTCGCTGGGGAAAAGCCAATTCCCCTATATATACACACTGATGGAAATTAAATTATTTAGTAACCTTCAGAATGGCTCTTAATGTTAGTGGACAGTTCTATGGAATAGCAGCTCAGCATTCAGTGGTACTTTAAAAAATAAATTAGGAATTAGTAGGAAAGAATGATGAAAAAAATCAAAGCATAATTATGACAAGACGTACATTTCTGGGGTGCCTGCATTTTCGAACACCAGTTGCAGTAGAACTAGAAAATACAGAGAAAAGCAATAACAAGGAGCACAGATGTGAAATGCCTTTTGTACAAGATGATATTAAGCTACGGCTTTTCCTCTGGGAAAAGAGGCAGCGCTTGGAAGACACACTAGAGGTTTGTAAATTCTTGAGTGGCACAGGGAAGACAAATAGGAAACAATTGTTCATGTCTTCTCACAATTTAAGAGGCAAGGGCATTACCTGAAATTATTGGGTAGCTGGTTTAGGAAATCACAAAATGAATTTATTTTCCCTGCAAATTAAATTGTGGAATCCATTGATATTCAGCATGGTAAATACTAAAATTTTAGATAGAAAAAAAGAAAATAAAGCACAGGGAAAGGCATTAAGGGCTATTAAGCACATTGATAGAAGCTCTGATTGAAGGACACAATGGGAAAAGAGCATAGTCCAGCCACGTTGTTCTTCCATGCCTCCTGCAAGCATCCACTGCCAGCACTGCTGGACAAGACACTGCATGGCACAGCCCTTTGGCACCGCACCGCCATCTTCCTAACACGGACTCGCCTCTCGTCTGTAAATTGTCCAAGGTGGGAGAGATGCATGCTTCCTGCAGTATTTCAGAAGCATCTTAACTGCTATTGTATAGCTGAAAAAAAAAAAGAGCTGAGCTTTCATTAATACTTCATGGGAGCAGCATGAGAGTAGTCTTCCTTGCATTGCTGAAAAGGCCGTGCTGATATTCCAGGTCTCACTTGCAATCTAAATTTCTTAAGATCAAAGCCACAAAATGACTCGTCCAGCTTGGACAGGTCCACAGCCCTGCTGTTCTGCAAGGCCAGAGCTGGTGTTGGGCTGTCTCCAAGTCCTGCATGTCATTCCTTCTATACTCAGACTTAGGCTTGCTCAGACCTTAACTACCAGGGAGAACAACTGCAGGAATTACAAGTGCAGACTGACAGACCTTTTGGGTGGAATAATTCAATGGCTGGAACACCTTAATGCATCTTGCATGAGTGAATCAGCTAATCATTTTAATGCAAAACTTTCTTTTCCTTTCTTATCTCTTTCTCTTCCACATTTGCTATCCAAAGAGGGAGGAAGTTAAGGATTACAGGAGGGTCAGCCATTGGAGTAAAAGGTTTGATCCTGCAAACTCCAAGTGGAAAATCTTGTGTTGGCAGGATCAGTGCTGCGACTAACATTGTATCATTGTAGAAACAGTCTGTTTCATGAACTGTCAGTTTTTTCTTTATCCTTCAAAAAATGTTAAATTGAAGATGTTTAATAGACATGTAAATACTGCAAACTGAAAACTGAATTAACAGTACTTTAAAGCAGCATTAAACTCACAGAACATGTTCGGCATCTTTCCGTACCATGTTGCCATCGAGTGACTAGCACAATCTATTAAAATAATCCTGTAGAGCTCCTTGAAGACTACGCTAGGTAATTTTACAAGTACAAGAAATTACTCAACAAAGAGAATATAAGAAGCACGCTAAAATACCAAAATACTTCTTAAAGACTAGGATACAGAAGGAAGACAAGCTTTCCTTATTAAACTTTTTATTAAAATGGAGCTATTTTTACATATTTAAAATACTTTATATCCAAATTATGCAATATTTATGAAAACAATTATATGCAAACACTTGCATAAAAATATGTAAAATCACAGCTAAGCAATATAAAGCAATATATAGCACGTTCCAAAATGTATTTCAGGACTAGAATACCTGAGTTTTCAATAAGCTGGTTTCCTGCATTTCACTGATTTTTAACAGTTAAATTTAATAATGTATCTGATCTCGTATAAAGCACTTCTTTGGTTGGGAGAAACTGCATGGAAAAGGCAGAGCTCGAGCAGAGATATTACTCAAGGCCTATCTTCAGAATCTTCTTCCACATGAAGATCCACTGTTTGAGATGCTAGGAAGGACTCCCATGTAGCAAGGCACTTAAAAAAAACACACAGATACATATGAATATAGCAGATAGATTTCTGTAAAACTGGTAGCCAAGGAGAAAAAGAAAAAGAAAAAAAAGCAGAATACATACGCATTGTCACAAGCTGCTTTTGTGGGACTATGGTAAGAGCAAAATATGGTTTCCTAGGCAGCTCAGTGATATGCAAAATGTTAGCCAACGTGCTGAGTGAGCTGTAAAGGTCACTTTTACATAATGAGAAGCGCACAGTGTGAGCATCGTAATTGTATGTGTTAGCATGGAAGATGCTAACATTAATTATGCTCTTCTTTAATCTCTCCCTTTAGTTACAGGCAAAGATCTCTTCCAAATAGAAAGCGCACTGTCAGGCACAGTTCCCTTGTAATCCCTCTGGATTCCTATTGTATACCCAATTTTCTTTCCAAGTTAAATTAAAACAGTTTTTTTCTAAACACACAGAGAATTCATTTCTCCCCTGAGTAATGGGCAAGAAATGGGACCAGAAAGGCAGGGGGTGAGGAGTGCGGAAATTGTCATCCTTCCAACAAGTGGCATTTCTCTCCTCACGGAAAAATGTATTTATAGTTGTACAAACTGATTTTTTTATTTGAAGCACCAAGACTGTAGGCAGTAAAATGAAAAGAAAAAGAAAAATATCCCCAAATGACTTTGGTTCAGTTTTGCTTAAATGAGTGTTGGCAGCTTGGCAAACGAGTATAAATCATAGATTAGTGTTGAGAGTCATGGCAAGGCTATCACTAGTAACCCATGGTGTGCTGATGCTTGTAACCCAAAGTACCAGCTTTCCACTATTTCAAGTCTGTCATTAGAACAGGGCAGGCAAATTCATGCAATAATTTTATTGTTGTTATGCTATTGAAAAAAAACGTTGAAATGGAAATGTTCTAATAAAATTTTGACTTACACACTCATACCTATTGCTCTTGACAATGCAGCTTATTTACTACTTACTGTACACAATTTTTTTCATGAAGAATCTGAAATATTCACAATAAATAAGTCTTCTGAAATTTCTCAGGAAATATCTTCTTTAAATTAAAACCTGGACAGCATACTCCATTTATCTGAACTTTGAATTAAATCAGTACCCTGAAAACAGCATCATTTCCTAAGTGAAAACTTTTGTCATAAGTATTCAAGCCACAGTCATTTGCTATGCCCAGCTACAATGAAGTATCTAGCATCCTTCTGTCATTGCTTAGGAGACATGGAAAATACGCTAGTATTCATGCTGCTTGAACTTACAACCACCTGCCTCTGTCTTATTAGACATTTCTAGTGAATGACTTAAAAACTCTGCTGTTAAATATGTAGCTTTAATCATATTACATTAAAAAGCCTAGGTCCTGGTATTATTGCATATCTATGTGCAAGCAGACAAGTGGGAGGATCTGATAGTCACGAATAATGTTAAAGTATAAGCTCAAAGAGCAAAATGAAGACGACACACACAGGATGACCGGAGTGGGGGGAATCCATGACGCAGAACCAGGGATACCCGTAAAATTATGGGTGACAAAAGTAACAAGAAGAAGCGAACAAAAGTCAGCAGTGATTATGAATCTGAAGACATAAAAAAGTAGAAGATGTGGGTCTGCAAGATAATGTGAGAGTTAAAACAGCTGCCTGACCTAAGAGATCACAAAGAAAAAAGTATGCAGGAGCTTATTTCTGCATAGGTTTTTGGTCATTATCAGGCATGTTAGAGACTGTTCCTGTTATTCATATATTTTCCTAGACTACGGAAACCATGAATCTACTCCCCCAATCTTTCTTTTCTGATCTGGCTGACAAAATCTCCAACTAACTTCTGCTGCTTTTGCACACAACAACATTATGCTGCTGTTCAGAGCACATCTAAGGTTTGAATTACTGTGAAAAGAGAGGAATAACAAGATAAGATTCATGTGGAAATCTGCTTTCTTCATTGACTTTTTGGAGAAATGTTATTTTGAAATGGTAAATATAAAATCAGGGAGCAACGATGAAAATAGTACTAGCATGAACAGTGATCTGCAAGTGTTGGAACTGATTTCTGACTTAAAAGGTCTTTTTTACCTTTTGTATACAGCCTTCAAATTTTGATCATTAGATTCTCCCCTACTTCATGTGACACTGGCAGCTGAATCTATCTGAGATGCTTGAACTGGAAGGTGGCATCTTGGTTTTAAAATGTCAGTGAGGCAGCTGCTAGCAATGTGTCTTCACTGTGGCACTCAGACTCAGATTTCTGTTTGCTAGAGACCAGCCTGGATTACCATCCTAGAAAGCTGCAAGGCATGTTTTTTCCTAGGCTTTTTCTAGGTGTGGGACAAGAAATGATCACTGTTTCTTGAAGAGTCTTTTGTTGGCAATGACTGATGTTTTTTTTCTGAACCACAGTTTAATTTATACCATGTAACTCTGTGTTTTGTCATTCTGTAATTTCAGTAATGTGAATTAAAATACATGTATCAACACTGGCTGGAATGTAAAAATGGCTTTCTGTTATCTTTGCAACACTGCGCCAAACTGCACGTGTTAAAATGCAATCACAGTATGTTGCTTAACCAGATAGATACAATGTACTGAAGTCTTTCCAGACAAAGATGCAAAGCATTTTTTTCAGTTACACAAGTTATTCAGTTTTTAATTTATCCTCATTTATATAACCAAAACACATTTTCCAAAATGTAAGAGCAATGGAGGCTCATTTCACTGTCAGACATCACAGTGCTGCTGACAAGTTTTATAATTAACCATACCAAAACAAAACTAGGTCTCTGTGCCTTAGGCTCAAGCTTTTTATATTGTGAAGCATGAACTGCATAAACGACATTTCGTTAGTGATGTATACTTCCACACTATTATAGAATGATTTTACTTCATTCTCCTGGGAGGTTGAAAACAGAGATCTAAATAGAGGATCAGCCAGCTTTCACAAAGGAGACAGAAAGGGAAGAAAAAGAAAAACCAAACCCAGGAAATTAAATGTGCATGCATAGGATTGAAATTCATAATCCAATTACTTGTAAAAGCCCGGCGGAAGACATAAAAAAGCCTAAAAATGAAATAGCACGAGCTTAAATATGGCTACTTTACCTAAAATACTCTGATTACTACTGCAGGTCACACATCTATTCTGCAACATCATTTTTAGAAAAAACAGCAAAAAGGTTTTCATGTAGTACAATTGCATATCTAACTAAAAAGGAGATACAAAAATAGAACGTGTAGTAGGGATGATAATAGAAGCAGTGGGTAACACGCCACATGTGTTTCTGCTCCAGTTCCCTGTTTCCCATGGTTGATACCTTAAAAATGTCATTTATGATGCCATTTTCTGGAGTAGAATCTGAAAATGAAGTCTTGTGTGTGTCAGAGAGAGAGACAAAAAATACTTTCACAGTTTCTGGGTGCAAGGAAACCAAAACTAGAGTGCATAGAAATACTGATTCCCACTATAAAAAAAAGTCTTCCTACAAGTATTTAGAAGAAATTTTTATGGTTTAAGTGAATGAGGGTTCAAAGATGGATCCTGGCTTTGAAGCGACATGCACAGAGGCTGGCTCAGCCATGTAGGAGCTTTTGAAAATCACATGAAATTTGTTAGCTAAATTCCCAGGCATTGCTAAGGTAGGATGTGATCAACATGCATGAGCAGCTAAATTTTTGCTACACAAACAAATGTCTAGTTAAATGCATCACTACAGAGGCCTCTAGGGCAAACAACAAATCTAATCTATTTTTCTACAGCTTGTAGAGGTACATAAGGGCTTTGGAGTTAGAGGGGAGTTGCTGTAGCGGGGAAGGAGTATTGTTTTGCCCTAATGAATCTTTTGGATCAATTTATGCCTGTACAACAATGTAGGTCACAGAAATAAACTAAATTATGCTTGAAATAGTTAAGAAAATCAGGAAATTACTTATATTTTTAGAAAAGAGTAAGTTGTGTCAATATGAACAAGAATCTCGCTATATCAAAGATAACTTCAGCTTTTTATCTGATTAAGCTGCAAAGGTTTAACAGGATTAGTTTGACATGAGAAAAATAAAATTAGAGGCTACGCTTTAAAGCAAAAGCTTATCTATGCACAAGAAAAAAACATGTTCTTTCAATGCCAAAACTAATTAAATATCATCCTACATTATGAAAAAAACCCAATCTTCTAGAGTGCCTCATGAGCAGTGGAAAACCAAACTCTGGTATATTTGCTGCATTTATAATGTCTAATTAGTCTTTGGATCGGACTGCAAAATCTAGCCACTTATTCTGGTGTTTTTTCTGAATAGACTAGGTTAACAAAGTTCTTTGCTGAGAAAAATTAAAGTGTTTCTTTTTCTTTGATGCTGTAAATATCCTAGAGACTATAGTAAACACTTGAGAAAAATTAAAGTGTTTCTTTTTCTTTGATGCTGTAAATATCCTAGAGACTATAGTAAACACTTGAGAAAAATTAAAGTGTTTCTTTTTCTTTGATGCTGTAAATATCCTAGAGACTATAGTAAACACTTGAGAAAAACAAAAGGAAAAATTTAGTAAATGTTTAATTGCTCTTTGAAGCCAGAGTTCAACATTGCTGGTTTGGTTTTGCTAATTTGTACCAGGAACACTTCAGACGTGCTAGCTAAATAATAATACCACCGCCACCACCACCAATAACTTTGTTATCTTGTTTTGGTTTTAGTAATACTGCATCTTTAGGGCTCTGCAGAATATCTATACCTATCTTAATGAAAATACTCCTGGTGGCAATCCACTTTCTCAGCTGTAAGCTCCACCCTGTGGACAGTTTGTGATTTCAACTGCTTGGCAGATACGTCTTTGGACTAAGGTGTGCTATTTCAGATAATAGTGTCACACCTAAGGCATGGGGAAAAGGAATAAAATAAATGGTATGGTGTTAACACATACTTCATTCAAGAACTTTTCTCTGTAAGGCAAACAAATCAATGCTATTTACTTCAGAAATAGGAGTACGGTTCTGAATTTTTAAAAATCAAAACCTTTTCATATTGTTTCAGAAAATCCTCCCTATTTCAGCAATGCACTCACAGTCATTATTAATACAGTATGTTATTGGCTTTAGGCCTTTGTGGAATACAGAGAGACTTAAGCATGTATTCAACTCTTTTCCAGAAGCAAAGTAAAGGAAGTAGAGAACTCTATGAACTCTTGAGACCAGCTACAGCAACACCAAATGATTGGTCAGTCACGGTAATTCTTGGCTACTAAATGACATTGTATTTAAGCCTTCATTCTCATAGGTCTGCATAGGAGCACCCTGTAAATTTGCAACACTGGGCTTTAATCAGTGTCTTTGTTACCACAGCATTGAGACACACAAAGAGATTGGCGATTCCACAGTGGTAGAAACAAAGGAACGCTTCTTATTCAGTTATATTAAATGTAGATAGTCAATAAACTGGAAGGCTACAGAACTACCTCTACTTGTTTTGAATTAGTAAATCTGGAGAAATATAATTACAGGTAACACATTAAAGTAGCACTCCATGTAACGTGAACATTAATTCAGCTTAAGGGAGATACACTTTTTTATGCTAGTTAAGTGATGCTTGACAAGTTGACAGCAGAATCCTTAGGCAACTACAATTAAGGAAAAATTTTCCCCATATTGTGACAAAGAGGAAATAACATTTTAGAAATTCTAGTGTACTTTGACACACTGCTATGTTGTACTTGATCACACTGGCTTGAATTTTATACAGCCTTTAAGGACTGGATTCTCTACTGCAAAAGCCACCAGAAAACATGAGATGTCTGTCTCTCATTACTCTGTAGTTCTCAGAAATGTAAGAGATGCAGAGAAAGGCCACTATCAGGAGAGACTCCTGGTTAGGTTGTGCACCTGAGAAATGAAGTCAGCAAGACTGGGGAATAATGAGGAGCACAGTGAAATGTTGCCATAGAGAAGGGAACGGGACACGGCTTGTGGAGAGGCAAGAATAGGAGTTGAACTGGGACAGGGGGAAAGCTGTGGAAAGGAGGAGAAGCAGGTAGTGACTGAGTTAAAAAGCAGGAGATGATTCCTCATAGGAGATGGGCAGAAGAGCTGGGCAACTGAATCATATCCATGGCATCCATGGTGCCTGGGAGCACGCACAGAACATGCTTTGGGGAAAAAAAGGCAAGAAATAAAATGAGGGATGCTACAACGAGAAAAGGCTTAGTAAGCAGCAAATGGTGCATCAAAAGCATGAACGAGTAATTTAACTTTGGACATGAGAGAGAACATTGATGATGCAAGTAAAGACTGAACAAGTGAAAAACACTGTAACAGGCACTGTGTTTGTGCATGAGTTTAATGAATGAGACTCAAACTATCATCTTTAAGGTAGGGTTTTGTTTTCTACTGAAAGCATGAAAATTATATTCTGATTCTCAGGTTTCTGAGATTCCCGTCCTGAAGTTTCACTTCCAAATAGCGAAAGCAGATGCTAGGGCTTCTTTTTCTGCTGTTTTCAGGAGTGCATTACACACCCGTAGTTTGTAATGTAAGGGCCTCTGACAGTGATCACTTCTCAATAATTAACCATCAGCATTAACCACAAGTCTCAAATAAACATGCATATTTTAGATCAAAACTCCCAATCTAAATATTAATTTTATCAAATTCTCTTGAATGCCATTTTTTAGATAATGATTTTCTGACAAAACAGGAAAAAATTGGTAAGCCCTCACTTTGCAAACAAGGAGTGATACAGTTAGCACAATGTTTTCTATTATTGCAATCGCTGCAGTAAGATAAGGTACTTTTTTCTAAAATCTAGATCTACCGAGATGTAACAGCAGAAATATTTTATGCAGATTACGATATTCAAGAAAAGCACCTACAAAGAATAACGTCTCAGTATAAACCAATTTGTCCAGTATTTTAGAGGCTATTTAAGAAGAACCACTGGCAGTTACCGAGATAACCGCACCATTTTCTGCAGTTTGTGACTTAATGATAGTAATTTCATGTACAGTACAAGCTTTGGCATTCTGAATTAAAATTCTAATTCATCAAAAAGCATTTCTAGACAGGAAAGAGAACCAAAGAATTATTTTTGTGTTTTAATCTAGCTAATAATTCGTTAACAAAATATTCCAATATATTTAGCATCATTTTAACATACGTATTGCTGATATAGAAGTCAGAGATCATCAATAACTGAAGAAAATGTGAGAGGATGCCAAAAGCTTGTTGCCTGATTTCAGAAAATATTTTGATCTTAATATGTAACAACAGATTGTCAATGTCCGTGCATCTCACAGACTGTATGTTAATTAATTAGACTTGATGATCAAGAGCTCTGTCTTTTCAATTATGTTTTAACAAACTGATTTGTAAAATCAGGACACTGTCATTGGCTAACAGGCAATCCAGAAAAGTTCAGAATACAGGATTGGAAGTTACAGATAGAAACATATATCTGTGAAAATTACTAATTTACGATTAATAGATGGCTTAGTGTATTCCAATTTTTTTCCCAAAATAAGGAGAAATTCTTTAAAAAAAATTCAAGACATCTGGGATATTTTCAAAATGCGCACTTCAATCAACAACATGTTCCCCATGAAGAAACCTCTCAGAATGCTTAACATATCTTGTCACATGTTTTCAAGTTCTCTTTCTTAGTATATATTCTTGTAAAAGGGAATTCTTACCAAGAATATAAGCTGTGGCATTTGAGTTGAAAATAAAAATCAAAACCCACTTTTCTTTCTTTCTGAAGTAGTAAGTTTCAATTATAAAAAGATTCAATTTATTAATTGTATACACTTGCAGCATTTGTATTTTTTTTTAAAAGTGCAATAAGCTTTTCATACTGACTTCTCAAAATTGTATTGTTCTTCTTTATCCTGGTAAAGTCTGATTATGTCACGAAAGACAATTCCTTAGAGAAATAACAACGAGGACTTCCTGAATGTGCTGTTTGAAAGGGAATCACATTTAAACATTTTCCTCATACAAGATCATTTACACAAGTTTGAGCTTTCCAGAAGGCTTCTTCGAGCAGTTGCATCAAAAGGTTTCTAAACTGAAATACAGCAGCTGACATTGAACCGAAAAATATGTTCCAAATTGTTGTGGTTAGTAAAACAAGAGTGCCCTCTGTCGATGATGAACTCAGGATCAACCACTTGGGCACAAATAAAATACGTTTTCCTTGAAATGTGTCAAATTAAGGAAAACTGCCTCCCTCTTCCTGCAAAAACTGATGCTGAAGTTAATACAGGTTTGAACTAAAATGCAAAAATTCCTCTTTACAGACAACCCATGCACTTCTGCACTGACATAATCAATTAAAAAACAACATTGCTATGAGAAAGTGTTTTACCTCTTCATAATAACGGAGATTATTCTCAGCCACATTAGTGAATGTTGATCTCATATCACACTGCATGTTTTGCTTCCACCTGTCCCAATCCGCTTTCAGAGCATTATTGGCACATTCGACTTTGTCTTCAAGTTTCCCAATCTCTTCTGAGAACTAAATGTGAATTGTAAACATTAAAAAATATTAGTAAAGTCACCATTTCAAAAGTGATTGAAATCAAGTGATTGTATTGCAGACAAACAGAACTGCAGAACCAAGGGTGGTATTTAACTTAGCACAGAAAATCATTCCCCAGGGATAAATTTAAATTTTATTCTTAATTAATAACTCAGTATAATTTCTGAAATATTAATAACAGCAATTCTAGACCAGAATTAAAGTGTTGCTGAAGGTATTTTTATTGACTGAGAAGTTACAGACTCTGGCACCTCTTCACTAGTACTTGACAGTAATGCATCTAAAAAGGAAAATATAGAGGGCTTTACTGAAGCAGAATCAACTATGCAAATTAGATTTGGCCAGAAAAACTGAGAAAACCCTGACACAAGCTTTGATAACCTCAGAGGAAACCAGAATGGGGAGAAGACAGCAGAAATCAAAAGCACAACCTTTCTGATTCTTGCCTGTCACCTAGCAATCTTTTCTTGTGGAACTAACCTCTGTGTGACCATGTGAGGGAGAGAGAAATACAGAAGCAGAGAAAGAAATTAAATCAAAGGACTTCTGCAGAGAATAAACTCTTTCACAGCAATCCAGGATCAAAAACCTTGAGGGCTACTCTACAGACATTATTTTCTTCTAATTACTGTAGATGCACAAAGTGACTTTTCAGCTAATGGGAATGAGGAAGTGGACAGAGGCCCTCTCTTTAATGAGTCTTCCAGTCCTCTCAATAATTTTGTTACCTATTGTCATTTACTAATCAGCTGTGTCAGTTCTGGCTGGCACCCAGTCACAGAACGAGGTATGTCTTCTGCAGCTACAGGGCAAATTCATCTGCTGGGACTGCACAGCGACTGTCTGCAACAGGAGGGAGGTCAGGCAGAAACACCACCAATAAGGAACATCAAGCAGGAAAAGTTAATCTCCTTGTACTGTTTCCATTGCAACTCAGGTCCCATACACCCTCCTCTTCTTCCTTGTATTCTGCTGTCAGGCAAATTGGTTTTGCCTCATACAACACCCCTGTAAAGTTGGATAGCTCCTCGTGCTCTCTGCAGAGCTGGTGCTTTCATTGGTATGAACTTCAGGATTCCAGGATTAACTTCCAGGATTTCCAAGGAATGCTTGGGCTATTGGCAGAATGCAGAAATGTCAAAGAGCAGCACGTGGAAAGTCTTGGCTTTCCAGCTTGAACCATGCAGGGAGGACAGTGTTCCAGTGCAACAGCTGGCAGTGCTGCCGCCATCAGAAACAAACTAAGCAGCACTGCCTGAAATGGTCATGGAAACGGAGCCCAACACTTAATTCACAAACCACAGATCCCAATTCAGTTTGACATACTAGAATCCTTCAGCTCTTAAAGTAGCCAAAAACTCGTTAGCTAGTAAAACTGAAAATTTCATCTGAATGGACTTTCTCCATATTCCACGATACACAGATGAATAAACATTTTTAGTTAGACTTTATTTCTACACTGATTTTCCTTGCCACACTTCTAGATTAATGAAATACTGGTTATTAATCAAAGAACAAAATGCAAAATATTGTTTCTATTTTACTGAAAAACCCACATTCAACTAGCTAGCCAGACCAGTAATCAAACTATGGACAAGGGTAATTTCAACTACCAACACTGTATTCAATATGAAAAGGTTAATCCAAAGTTTAAATGTGGAGAAGTTACCTTTAAAGGAATTACAGGCAGCTGGATTCGGTATCTTGGGCATGTCCCAAGTTAATTGCCTTTCCTTCAAATAGCAAAAATGAATGCACACAGAATACTGAAAACAGTGAATATTTTTAGATGATTTAGAGTAGGAAAGGCAGTTGAAGCCATTTTCTGCTTTTGCAAGAAAAAAGTCCCTATATGGGAACGAGCTAGGCTATACACGTAAAGAAATTTCTCTGACTTAGAAGTCCTGGCTGCAGCAGCTTCCCCTTGCCTCATTCTTCATATCTTTAAGACATTTGGTTTTGTCTTGCCTTTTCTAGGAACTACGAATTTCTTCCACGATGTAGTCACAACGTGATGTGGACAGGCAGACTCTGTTTTACATCCCTGCCTGGATATGCGGTTTAAACATCACCCTGTAAAGCCCCAAAGAAACTGTGTATTGTATCGAGGCAAGGGTTGGACTTAAGGTCTAAAGACAGCATTATGCCACACTTCATCATCTCAAGTAGAGAGGTTTAAGATCTACTTTTTCACAACTGAAAAGAAACATAAATGCCACCGTCTTCAGCTGCCATGACAGCAGAAATCAAAGAAGAATGGCTTGGTCTTGACAAAAACATCTACCTAGTGTGCTCCTCATTTACAAGGTGTAAATTGTAATAATTTATCCTGCAAATTAAATATGATTCTGAATCCATTTTCTTACATTGATTTCACTGAGGCAGCTAGTGTGATAAATTAAATCTCACGTCAGTGATCCCCAGAGAAGGACAGCACAGTGCTAATCAGACATCGGATCATGGGACGGGAAGGTGGGAGCCAGACACTGCCAGGGCAGAGCACTACCAGACATGAACAGTGTGACCCATAGCCAAAGAGACTTGGCCCAATAGCCAATTTACCTGGTAAGTGACACAGCATTTTACACTATCTCACTATGCAAAATAGCATGAATTTCTACCTGCTACATGAATTAATCCTACAGCTCGGTGATACTAACCGTTTTTAGCCTGGAGTTAAAACAAGATTTATTCAGAATGTGATAGATTCAGCATTTCATCTCTTTACTATTTAGTTTCAAGCCTGAACACTAGAATCCTTAAGCTAGCATTTAATGCTTATCTGGTTCTGTCAGAGCACATTATACCAACCTTTTGTCAGAATTACTATTAGCACTAGTGGCAGTACCAAAACTGTTAAAAACTCCCAAATCACAGATGGATGCACTAGCATTGCTGTGTATGCCTTCAGAATGGAGCATGGGAGCGATGGAGCCACAAACTCCAACATCTTTACAGCCAGAGCTCTGGAGGTAAGAAAGGTCTAGATAAGCAGGAGGACACCAAAGTCCTCCCAAATATCTCTGTCAGAGCCTGCATCCAAAATCACAATCTTCAAACCTTCCATACCCTGAACAACTGCCTTCTTTGTGGACCAATTTTTGGAGTGGGAGACAAGGTTTTGGCTTTTTAGCAGCACCACAAGCAGCTTTCTAAAAGCCCAGTGGCAGAAGCACAGCTCAAGAAAACATTTTTTCCCAGCCAATGAGCCTGACATCTTGTAAGGTTTAATTTGCGATTCAGCCTACTTCAGCTGCACTGACCTTGGGGATGTTTTGTATTCTCCTGCTGTATAACCTCCTGTTTGTTAAATCATTTAATGTTTTGGTGACCAATGCTGAAGATCTCACAGCCTTTTATCAGCTCTAATGACAGTCTGAGATTCCTTATCTATGGTGGAAATGTACTTCAGATGAGATTACAGTTCATGCCACTCATTGTCAGCAGAATTTCTGGCTACTGGATTGCACTGACAAGTTCAATCTGACATCTATGAGATCATTAGAAGCTACCCGAGTTCTGCTTAGGAATAGAAATGTGCAAATACAGCCAAACTCAGTGTTTGACACCAATTCCAGTAACAGCACCTGTGTTATGACCACCTTTTATTCTGAAATCAGTCTGGTTAGAAATATCAGCAAAATATTTCAAGACATAATAAAAATTAAAACACAGTAAAAAACTGATTAAGTTAAGTTACTTGAATGGTTAAAAATAATGGTGTATTCTCTGTGGCCAAACTATCATTAATAGAAAAAGTCTTCAGGATACAGCTGCCACTCAATTAGAGAACACAGGATTTTATGATCAGATTAGACTAACAGACATCTGTTTTACTGCTCTCGTGAGACTGCAAGGAGAATCAGGCTCTCAGAAACAGGATTTGTTGAAATGAGTGAGAAATAGAGCGGTTGGGAAGATAAAGCAAAGATCGGAACACCTGGGTAATCACACTGTAACAGTTACAAAACTGTAAACACTGTTTTGGAAAGACAGAAGCAGTGAAAAAAGACCAGGTTGTGCAAACTGATCTCAGAATTTTACTAGAAGCGAGTACAAACATCTCATCATGGAGTAAACCATTGTCAGTATCAAATCAACATGGCATGGTCAATACTATGCTAAAGGGAAAAATACTCCTTTTCTTCTGTAACAGTTCAGGAAAAGAGAGTACCTGCACCTTGTCTGAGGACTCCACCAGATTATAACCGAAACACATTCTGAAAAGACCACGTCCTGCCAGGCAATGTTTCCTTCCCTACGGTGGACAGCAATAAGACTAGCTGCTAAACAAGCTGTATGAAATTGCAATTCATCGCTGAATCTCTCTGTGCAAACTGTTTTTAGCAGGTTGCCAACAAACCATACAGATGGGAAGTACTGATTAAAAGGGATGCAACATTGAAAAGTTGATATAACTAGCTGCATACAAATAACTTATGCAATGACGTATAACACTCCTTTCTGCCAGAATAAATTCTTAGAATCATAGAATCATAGAATATCTCAAGTTGGAAGGGACCCATAAGGATCATTCTTAATATATACTGTGCTTTCACATGCAATGCAACCAGCGTGCGCTGCTGGGTGCTGGGGCAGGGTGCTGGGGACACGGACAGGCTACAGGAGGAGCCTGCAGTGGGTCTGCCAGTGCCCTCACAAGGCAGCACAGGAATATGGTGGCCTGCAGCCAGCAGAGGACTAGGACCTGCCATTGCTACCCCAATTCCCAGCCTAGGGGGCTTCTCCAACTTACCATCCTCCGTGCATTTTATAACAGCTTCAAACTTTATACGTAAACTAAGGACAAAGGACAGGAGAAGCAGCAGAGGAAGCAGAGAAACAAAAACAGATTAGAGAACACAAAGGCAGTGAAATGAGAGGACAATATAAGATACAAGTAAACAGAATTTCTACTTCAGGAAAAAAACAGAGGTATTTACTTACTGTCCCACTGCAGTACACAGAGGCAAATTGTTACAAAATATACCATAGCCATTGTAGATATCAGACAGTGATAATATATTCTTATTTATTCAGCTCAGTGACAAGAAATCAAATAAAAATAACCACTTTGAGTGCCAAAAACTATCTAAACAGCTCATCTTTACATGAAAGCTAATTACAACAACCCTAATAAAAAGTATCTGAAATGTCAAGGACTTTCTCCTTTGATGTACTAAAAAGTTACAGTGATTATTATTTAGTCATTTTAATATATTATTTACACTGTATAACACTGTGTTAACACTGTGCTAAAAGGACATTATTTAGGCTGGAGAGCTAAACAATCAAAAATTTAAAAAATGCCAATGCCCATCCAGAAGTTCCTTTTAATCGGCCCGCTGAGCCTCGCTGATGGGTTTGGGGATGCCTACCCCCATGGGCTACCAGTTACAGTCTGACTTCACTAGAATGAATGAAAGTGTCATACTGGAAGTAAAAAAATATCCCTGGGCCCAACCAGATAAGACCGAAACCTGAAAAAACAGAATCCAGAACTTCTTATTTTAAGTAAGTTTAAAGAACAGCTTTGCTCATTCTAGCTACCTCCTCTCCCTCTCCTACATCAATGGAGCAGCAGCTACAAGAGCATGGCAGCAAGTCTTACTTTCTTTTAAATCCTAGTGTGGAAGTAAACAGAAATGCTAAAAATAAGCTGCGGTACAGTCTGTGTTGACAAAACAGTGTCACCCACTATTACCAGTCCTTTGCTCCAGCAGCCAATCTACTGAAGTTTTGCATCTCTCTCATGGTTGCCTTTGCCTGGCAATGCATAGCTACAAAGTCCAAACCTTTTCAGAATAAGTATGGGAATTACAGAGACACCATCCAGTTACAAAGCGTGGTTTCAGAGGACACGCTTTCTTCAGGGGATTGTCTTTTGCAGTTAGAATAAGGCCTAGAAGATTTCAGCTTTCCGTACATACTCACCAGATCCTTTTCTGTCTTTTTATTGGCTAAAGCATCAACTTTGGAGTCGAGCTCGCCTTGAATTTGGTCTCTCCTTTTCAAAACACCCTTAATACAGAAGAGAAAAAAAAAGGAAGTAAACCGCACCAAATTTTAGCCATCTATTCAGAAAACCATCAAACAACTGGCTATTTAATAAATTAAGCAAGATCACGGAATGGTGCCATTTAATAATTTTGACATGATACATGTACTTTCCTCAAAAAAAATCTTAAAATTATGCAGACTTATTTTTCAATACCTGTATTTTATCTTACGTGTTTTTCAAGAATCTTAGTAAATCCAAAATCAGTGCCACAAGAATCTGCCATACACAGTATCATTGCGAGTTGTATGAGAAAAACTGCAACAGCAGTTTACTTAGTATCAGCTCAACTTACTATATATTCATATTTTAAAACAGCAACATGAGTTTGCCAAATCTCATGAACAAAAGTATCTTCTTTGAGTAAAAGTTACAATATAAAGTAGAATAAATGACTAAAAATGGTATACCAGACGTTATTGAAATTGTGACTTTAACCTCCAATATTATTTTGTAAGTGCTAAATGTAGTGCAGTAAAATCAGATAAAATTATCATAAACATAACAGATGTTCTAACATTGATATATGTGCTTATTTTCAGCATATGTAATTATTTCCTCCTTTAAAACTGTCTTATGAGGTATTGGATTTCTAGCATAATGTCAAAAATAATTAGAAAGGGGAAGGAGTGTTACTTGTTAAACTACAAAACAGGAACGATATTACAGATTAAATTTCCATTTCCGATGCTCATTTGCTCTGTGACCTTGAGGAAGCCTTACAAATTTCTCTTTGCCTTAGTTTTCTCATCTGTAAAAGCACACTCAGGTGTGTGTATCTCGCAAAAACATTGCAAGGCTTTAGTCCTTTTGAAAAAAAATCAGAAGCAGGACATACATAATTACAAATCTCAAAACCTTCTTTTACATTACCTTGCCACAACTGGTTTTACTGCTTCTTCTGCATATACTAAAGAGATTTTCAGTATTCACCTCTAGCATAGGGCATGTTGAAACAGCACAGGGCACAAGCAGCTCTACCTTCTCTAGCTGTCTTATTTGACTGAGTTCTCTTTGAAATCTTGTCACTTTAACAAACACAATAGAATAATTTAGGAGGTTAATTTTCAAATAATTTTTCAATGCTTCTTTTTGAACAAGTGCTCACAAGAAAAATTTGGTAAACCTGACTTTGGACAATTCTGAGTAATAAATTAGCGATACATACTAATGCTCATAAATCTACATTTCGAAGGCTCAAAATATCTTTTGGTTAGATAAATACAGAAAATATTTAGCTGTAAGCATAGAAGCAAACCAAGTATGTCTGGAACAGCTTTCCTTCATGTTACAAATGCTTTCTCTTTTTTACTATTTCTTTTGCCTCTTTTAAAACTATTTTAATGACTATTTGTCAAATTTATCACAAATACTCCTTAAATTACAAGATAAAACCAATGATTTTAATATTAATGTGCTACAACCATAGACAAGTGCTGACTTCTAATGGCAAACAGAGGGACTGTGTTTTTAAAACATATTATTATACTTTTACGATTTTTTTCTGTAATATTTAATGGTACCCTGCCACAAAACCCTCAAATAATTGTATGTGGACCCATAACCAATTTATTGCTGCAGTTTGTATCCTGAGGCACAGCAGTACTCTGCACTTCCCAGATTTGTTCTGTGAGTCAGTTAGGAAGGAGCCAGTCCAGATGTAAATATTTCAGCTATGAATTCATCTCTTTCCCCAGTTTAAGGCTGAAATCCCAAGACTGGAAAATACAAGGATTGTATTGTATTGACCACATCTTCTGCACATTTGTGCATGATCTTGGCAGCACTGCATAAAGGTCCCTGTGATGAGGGGTTAAACACACCTCTGAAAGCAGGTTTTACTAGTGTGTGGCTTCCCCTGTTGTATTTTTATCATGACTAGTAGTTCCCTCTCAAACTGCGAGAGGGAAGTAAACTGTAGGAAAAATAAAAATCCATGGCGAATGAAAGGAAAAAAACAGTTGTAGAACAGGAATGAGCTATTGGAGGAAGATTTTCCTCCAGACAGGACCTCAAGGCAGCCTAATTCTGCACTGCAAGTGTTACATCAAGAACATTGCAAGCAGAAAAAAAAGCAATGGGCAACAGCTACTTGGAATGTGTGCATGAAGAGCCAGGTAGTCACTCTGGGGTTTGTCCAGAGAAACCTCTCTGTGCTCTGGACAAAAGAGAACACCTGAGAAAGGGTGAGCCAGGCTGCAGACTAGAAGGCAATGGGCAGGCAGCATCTCTTCAATAGCCTGAAGGCTGGGATGGCTCATGGATAACAGGCTTAGAAATTCTGAAAAATTAGTTTGGAAGTGGGGGAGAGGAAGAAGACCTGCAATAGCTAGGACGGTCATCTCTTCAGACCTTCAAGCAAAGCAGTACCTACCTCCATTTACCTGCATGTACATATAAATAATGAGGCCTGTGAGATACAGGACATTTTGTATGGCCCCTCTTCCAGTGAAGCTGGTTTTAAGGACAGCAGTCATTGCAGCAGTAATTCTTAACCTCCCAGTAGCTAAGCCTTACTGAGAAACTGGCAGTGCTCTGCACAGTGCTAGCAAAGGCTGAGTTATCTTGGATCTTGCTCTACCCATGGCCTGCCCCTACTCAGAAACCACTGCAGTAGGAGCTGGGTTCCCAGCAGAGAGGCAAGAACAGATACTGCAGCTTGCATTGCTCAAAACCTAGACAAAGAGGGGTTTGTACAAATTTTCTGCTTTCTGGAGGCAGCAGAGTAGGAATTATGACATGCCGAATTCAGTTACTTAATTATGTTGATTATCCATCAGCGCTGAGTTTATCAATTCTGAAGTCTGTTTTTTTACATTCTCTCCAAGTGTAAGAAAAATATGTACATAAAGGGAACTGAGAGCATCAGCTTAAGGCAAAGACTAACACGTGCTTATATAATGGCACAGGGACTGGAAGTTCCTTGCTGTTCTGGAAAAAGAAAACATAGTTGAGGAACATCTCCTAGAAAGGGAAAAACCTCTTCACTCCTTTTCCCCCACACAATCTGTTACTCGATGAGTTCATATTTCAGCAGTGTCAGAGGAGGTCTTTCTCAGCTGCTGTTCCCCAAACCTTTCTGTGTTCCCGTCTCTCTGCTACAATGTAGAGTGCTCTGAAGATGGCAAAACCAGACACTCTTTAGCCCAGCTACCAAGGGCTGCCTGCCATGCAAAACTACCAAGCTCTTCTCATCTGGAAGGGGTGCCTCTTATCAAGGGCAACAGGACCAACCGGATTCCCTGTTAACGGACAGCTATCCTATGCTGTGCACGTTTCGTAACAACAGTAAACAGAGGGACTGCAAAATCATTTTCATCAATGTTTCATCAAACTCTCTTCTAGTGTTTGTCACTGGACTAAGCCAAACTTTATATACAGTCATAAGCAATCTTTAAGGAAACCTTACCATCAGAATTTCACTGTAGAGAACGTATTCATGCAAAATCGGCAGCAGGTTTTCTGAGAGCCCTGCCATTTGCTTCTCCGTAGCCTTGCAACACTTGTCGATGCAGCTGGCAACACCTTTTAGGGAGTCTGCTATATCTTCTTCCGATGCTGACCAGAGTGTGTGGATGGGGCCGTATTCCTTCATTTCATTAAAATACTCTTAACAGGAAGATATACACATATTAGTCTTTTGTTCATTAATAGATGTCTAAGTGATACTAATTGCAACCTCATATTTACTGTGAACAAAGCAAGAGACTGAGGCTAATGTTTAAATTTGCTCAAATGACCAAAAAAAGTAAACTGCAGTTCATTGTTTATGAATAAACTAATCAATGAATGTATTGTAATTAAGTAGTTCCTAGAAACCTATCAGCAAAAATGCCCCAGTCATTTTAAAAGGACACATACTCTTAGACCTGATGGGTTGTATTCAGTTTACCCAATGATCTGAATTACTTCACATTGTCTTCATACAGAGGGACATCAGCCATAGCAGCCCCGAGCAGCAGTTGGTCTGACTTGCTTCTACTGCCCAGAATTCTTCTGCTACAGTACTGCTCTGAATTCCATTATTAAAGCTAGTAGCCTTGGTATGTCCCAAAAGCTGCAGAAGACACACTGAAGTTCACTCCAGTTCTGCAGGTGTTATCTCCTTTAGTAGTTTTTATTAATCTAAATACATGGATAGCCTGTGAATTATTTCTGTTACGTCTCTAGGCAAAGTGATAATCTGTAAGCAGAAGGAAAAAGGTCCAGAATTCATCTGGCACATCCAGAACTGTGCCATTTGGCAGGGCTAAACTTGGGCAAGGCTGGATATGACCTGGAAGCTGCATGTTCACAGGAGGGTACTGTGAACACATTGGACATGTACTGAAAACACAATTTCATCACAACTGAATTTGTAATGAAGAAATGTCCAAGAAAAGATGCAAAGCAGATGTGTGCCATGAAATGTGTAATGTTTACTTGGAGATTAATTGGACAAAAAAAAACCTCCATGGAAGATAT